TCACATAGTTTCTCATATGAACAACTTAATATATAGATATAAAGTACAAAATAAAAGACAGATAATAGTAAAAGAGAGAAAATAAAAATTGTATTGCAATCCAGTACAGAAAATGTATCTAAAATTGTACCTTGACTTAGTACAATTGTCTTACATTTTTTATATGTTCTTTGGCCTATTAGTCTGGTTTTTAATCTGTGTATATGATAATTAACTTTATAAGATCTTATAAGATAAATAATTAATCTAATACTGGAAACATAAAATAGGGGTTCAGGGAAAGGGAAAAAAAGAATTAAAATGTATTATGTATATGTACTAATTCCCTGTAGTAAATGTAATCATTATGTGCTGTAAACATGTACTAATACAACTAAAAGAAAATAAATGAATGAAAAAATAGCAGGTTGTTTTAAAATTCTGAGTTTCAAGCTAGACTACAAAGCTAGAGTGATAAAAATAGCATGATATGGGCACAAAAATAGACATGTTGATCAATGGACTAGAACTGAGGATGCAGAAACAACTCCAGGGACCTTTAGCCATGTAAACTGGATAAAACTGGTCTTTTTAAACAAATTATGCTGGGTAAACTTGTTTTTCTCATGTAAAAGAATGAATCTAGATTCATATCTCTCACCCAATACTAAAATCAAATTAAAATGAATCAAAGGCCTAGATATTAATACAGAAACAGTAAATTGTCTGGAATATAAAATCGATAAAGCTCTTGAAATACAGGTATAAGCAAGGTTTACTGAATATAACCTCAATCACATAAGAAATAACACCAAGAATCAATAAGTGGGAACATATCAAATCAAACCACTTCTGCACAGCAAAAAACCAACAAAATGAAGAGACAAGATACAGAATGGGAAAGAATTTTTGCCACCTACTCCTTGGACAGGCTGCTAATATCTAGAATATATTTTAAAAAGTAAAAAATATTAGACCTCTCTACCAAAATGAAGGACTCAACTGAAAATATGCAATTGAAATGAATAGACACTTTGCAAATGAAGTACAAATACCCAATAGGTACAAGAATAAAATGTTCAACATCATTGTTCCTTAGAGAAGTACAAATGAAAATAACTCTGATTTTCCATCTTACTCCAGTGAGAATGGCTATCCATCTATGACTCAATAAATTAAAAATGCTGGAAAGATTATGAGGGAAAAAAACCCTTTCATATGGTTTGTGGAAAATTAAACTAGTACAGAAACTATGGAAATTCTTCAAAAAAATAAAAATAAAAAGTCGATTTGACCCAGCTACACCTTTTCTGAGTTTCTTCGCAAAAAAGTTAAAGACATCATATTACAGTGATATATGCATACCCATGTTTATAATAGCACATTTCATAATAGCTAAATCTTGGAAGTCATCCATATGTCCATTAGTAAATGAATGAACAAAGAAAATAAGTAATACTCAGCCATAAAGAAGGATAAATTTGAATCCTTTGTAGAAAAATGGATGGATCTGGAGACAATAATCCTAAGTGAAATAAATCAGACATAGAAGGTTAAATATAACATGGTTTCTCTTACATGAGAAACTTAAAATATGAATAATTGAAAAAACAAAACAAAGAAGAGATGATATGTATCAGATAGACAGACTTTGTGGAGATGACAAGGCGATCTGCAGATGGGGAAATTGGAAGGCAGGAAGTGGAAGGAAAGTAAAAATGACTAAGATGTGATATGAATATATACCATTTCCCCAAAAGGAACGTAAATAGTATGCATACCAAAAAGTAAGATTACAAAAACATTACTGGAGAGCATTTATGAAAAAATGAGCACTGCTACACTGTTGGTAGGAATTTAAATTATTATAGCCTTTACGGAAATCAATATGGAGTTTCCTCAGGAAACTAAAAATACCACTTGATCCAGCTATACCATTCCTTGGTATATACTCAAAGCACTTAAAGTCAGTATGATATAGGGATATCTGCATACCCATATTTATTGTGGCACAATTCCCAGTTGCCAAGATATGGAAATACCCTGCTGCCTATCAACAGATGAATGAATAGAAAAAGTGTATACATATGCAACAGAATATTATTCAGCCCTAAAGAAGAGTAAAATTGTTTTGTTTGCATGAAAATGGGTCAGGATATCATCATGTTGAGCAAAATAAGTCAGACTCAGAGAGACATATGTCATGTACTTTCCCTAATATGTGAAATCAGAAAAGATGACAAGATAGTAGAAGGGGGGGTCATTGTTAGACAAGAGGAAGGGAATAAGGGAGAAGGGAGGTATTTTTAAAGGTGGGTAATAGAGAGAATGATATGATCAAAATATATTATATGCATTGAAACTCCCCCACATGTGAAAGTAGAGGAGAGGGCATGGTGAGGGAGTAATTATGGGAAAAATGATCAAAGTATATTTACATGTATGAATCTGCCAAAATGAAGCCCATTAATCTGTATAACCCATATGCACTAATAAAACATTAATTCTAAAAAAGAAATTTTAAAATCCCCTGAAAAAATCTTGTATCAAAAAGAAATCAAAGTCTCCAAGGTAATCTTGGTTTCTTCTCATCTTCAACTGTAAAACACAAAACACTTAAACGTAGGGTATGCCTAGGGAAATAGGTTCAATCTAGAATGGTCTGGTGCAAGTTTACCATGTGAAAGTTTACTTTGTAAGTTGGGAAGATCCCATATCCCTTCTCCTCAAGAATCACTGTAGCATACCTATTGGGAGTGGAGCAGAAATACTTTTGACCCATTGAACACAGAAATTGTTTTCTGCTTTTCATTGACCCACTACCTCATTCTGATTGTTGTAGTACTGTGTTAAGATTAATTAACTTTCTTGTTACTATGGTTCTGATTTCCTTCATTAAAACAAAGGTGATTTCTTGCTTGTTCTACACACCTTGTGATCATGCTCTCATGATTTAAAAGATTTGAAAAGGAAATCTGTAAATATATTCTCAGCAGCAAGTAGAAATGCCAAATATTCTTATTAATATTAATAACCACATAAAATTGCATGATAGTGTCATAATACAAGCTTTGCTGCATATTACCTGTGTAACCTTGGATAGTTAATCTCTCTGAACCTTGAGTTGCCTCACCTGCAAAAGTGAAACTAATTCATCTACTATTTGGGAGATTTTCAATAAGGACTAAATCACATTTTCAAAAAGACCTGGCCCAGAATAGGTATTCATAAATGTTAGTTTCTTTTAAAAAGTTAGTTTCTTTCATGCATTTGAAGCTGGTTTCTTTCACGCATAGTCTTCACTTTGCTGCTTACTAGCTATGTAAGCACAGCAAGGTTACTTGTTGAGCTTCAGTTTTCATCTGTTGGATAAAGCTGCAGTAAGCATTGGTCTATATACTAAAATGTACTTACACATACCCTGCTAAGCAACTTCTGTATATGACAATGGTATAGTGAATTATGCCCATCCCTGTTTCTTGTGTCTCTGTGAGAACACTCAATACTGGGTCATGTGCTGTGGTGAAAGCAAGAAAGGCATGAAGTAAGGTCCCTACCCTCAAAGACAATGGAATAATCTAACATAAAACTTGCTAGACTAAAGCTTTTCACTTTGTTCTGATTGTTTAGCATCTATGGGGCCCAAGTGAACCCATTAAACTATGATAGACCTGATAGGAAGCAGACTCCTGATCACTGGGAATTTTAAAGACAAACCCAGATAATTCACTTAGGGAATAGGAGAAGAGATTCCTAATGCTATCTGACATGAAATATCATATGAGAGACTATAAAGTATGAAGGCATTATAGGTAGTATATTATTCTATTACTGCTGTAATAAATTACCACGTTCAGTGATTTAAAATGACACAAATTTATTCTCTTATAGTTCGAGACCAAAAGTCTAAAATCATGTTTTTCCAGAGAATATAGTGACTTTTAAAATATTTTCTAAAGCATATGTATAAACTTTAAGTTTTTTAGTAAATAAAAGTGAATGGCTCCTTTAAAAAGTCTAAAATCAAGGTATTGACAAGATGGCATTCTTTTTGTGTGTTTCAGAACAGAATCTGTTTTCTTGCCCTTTCCAACCTGTATAGGCCATCTACATTTCCTGAATCATGGACCCCTTTTTATATTTCAGCTTTCTTATTTCTACCATTACAGGTTTTATTTCTTATTCTGATCCTCCTGCCTCCCTCCAGTAAGGACTCTTGTGATTACATTGGACCTACCTTGATAATCCAGGGTAATCTCTTCCATCTCAAGATCCTTAATTTTAACACATTTACAAAGTCCCTTTTACCATGTAAAATAACACATTCACAGGTTCCAAAGACTAGGATGTAGACATGTTTGGGAGTTATTTTTCAGCCTACCATGGGAACTGTAGCTCAGAAACAATCATCAGAATCAGAAAAAACAAGGTAGTCTTTGTGGAGGTGGTATACCTTGAAGGGTATGAAGATAAGAAAGAAGTCACTTCTAAACTGGGAAATGACAAAAACACAGGAAGTGGGTGTATAAATTAGCATAAATTACATGAAAATAAAAAGAAAGGAAAATGAAAGAGAATAATATAAATGCTAAAAATGTGTTCAAATGAGAGGAAGAAAGACAAGACCATAAAGTGCCTTAAAAATAAAGGGAGCCAAACTTGCAAGAACAGCAACTGGGAGTTACTGAAAGTTCCTAAGTAAGCCTCCAAGTGACATTCTGAAAAGATTATTTTCAGGATAATTAGTCTAGATATGTAGAGATGAGACATCTAAATTATTATATCTTCTTTGAAGCATCATCGATGTCTAGGCTGTCTTTAAAACAACTGAAAACAAATTGACAGTGATTTCAAAGAAGAGAGAAAAGCAAAGGGCAGGATCATTACATCCTCTATTCACTTACAGGAATGCAAGACACAGAAAACTAAGGGCTTGCTTTAATACTTTGCAAAAGAAGACAATTTCTATGAGTTCAAGACAATTCTTTTTAAAGATTAAAAAATATACAAGGTTTACTTACCTCATTGCCACATTACTTCCATCAATGACAATTGGCCTCAAATTATCACTGTTGTCTATTTCATCTTCAAGAGACAATTCAGGGCTTGCACTTTCTCTGGAGCTGGGGCCCCGGGGCACTAACAGCCTCAAGTTGACCTGCCCTTCTGAGTCATCTTTGTTCCCAAGTCTGACAAGCTCAGCCAATACATCATTAATAAGTGATTCCGGGCCCAGCTTATTCAGCACTGATTGAATCTGTTCTTCAGCATAGCCCAGCTTTAGAGCAAAATCCATCTTGGCTTGGTATTCTTTCTCTAAGTTGAACTTACTATCCTGTAAAAGGCTGCTCTGGGAGAAACTCGGATGATCCAGACAGGGTGATCGACAAAGCTGACGGTGTGGCTTGGAAGGCATCTCCTTTTTCTTCAACTGACCATCTCCAGGTTGGCAGCTATTGTTGCTGTTCTTAAGGCTTACCTGTTCAGGGTCACTCTCAGAGCTCATCCACTCTTCAGAATCAGCATTGCCTTGCTCTATGCCATCCTGCTTAGGCTGCTGCTTCTCTTCCTTGGAGGCACTTTTCTCCATTTTTGGTGTTTCCACTGCAGCTGTGGCCGTCATCCCTTTCTATAGGTATTCTTATGTCTAATCAGGTCTTTTTCTTTTTCCTCTGCTTCAAATTAATATACAGTGGTACTCTTCTGTGGTAAAATGTTGTGGTAGCAATGGTGCAAGAGTTTGCCTGTTTGGTTTGTATATTCAGATGTTACAAGTCCCTACAAATAAACATACATGCCACAATCATCTTTAGTAAACTTCTGGAAAAGAATTTTAGAATACAGACATTTTCTCCTAAGTACTACAAGTACTCTGGAGTTTGAGTTTTTGGCTTACAATGATTAGACTTACCTTACACTGAAAAATATGGAGTCCTTAATTCTAATAATTCCAGATATAAAATTCAAATGGTGGCAATCATGTTGCAATTCATATGCACATACACAAAATCACAGTTAAACGTATCACTTAACTCTACAACCTTGAGAAACAATGCTTTTAAAACATGATGCAGGTGTAGGGGTGTGTGTGTGTGTGTGTGTGTGTGTGTCTACTTGGAGGGATTCTTTTTCTTCCTTTCTGCCAGGGAACTATTTCTAAAGATCTCTCACCAGATTCTTGTCACTGCTGGAATCTACTTCTGAAGAACATATCTTCTCTAACATTACTCTGCAAAATATGAGGAGCCCCATCTTCCAGGCAGGCTGGAAAACCATTAAAGTTGCCTTCAGACAATTGAAATAGGCTGCGAAGGTAACAGATACAGATGCATGTTCCAGATGTGGGAGTGAATGTGTACACACTGCTAAATATATCTACAGCCTATTTATTTATTTCAATTGATACACAAAAGCAGAAAATCACCTTGGCACCATGGTGCATAATTTTATTCCCAGCTACTCAAGAGGCTGAGGCAGGAGGATCACTTGAGCCTAGGAGTTCAGGGGCCAGCCTAGATGATAATGAGGCTTAAAAACAAGGAGAAAATCAACTCAATTTTCATGATAAACCAGAAAATTTTAAAGAGAAGATTAATTACAGAAATAACTAGGGACAATTTTATTTCTAAATCCCTCCTCTCACCTACCTTATCTGTACTGGCAGGTTTCACTTATAATCTGTGTTCTTCTTTTTGAGTCTCAGTTTTCTCAAATGTGACTGAGAATGCTGATTCAATCCCCAGCACTATAAAAACAAAATAAAAAACTCATTGACATTGGTGTGAATACCTTACAGGCTACCTTGCAAGATAATTGTCCTTACAATTAAATGAGCAAAGAAAATATTCAGAAAAGTGAACACAATATAATGGATTCTCAACGTACATAAAGGGGGTAGCAGACATCAATATCCTTACTTTAAAAAAGAGAGACACCTAGATAAGGCTATAGACCTGTGAGCACTGAAAAGCTATCCAAGCATCAATTGTGTCCACTAATATAAAACTAGGTGAACTGTACAGCCAGTACACCAGAGATTTCCAGTTATACCTCAATCCTATTTATACAAACAAGAAGAAAATCAACCAACACTTCAAATAATGTAATGGATAACTGCATGCTTACTTTAGGAGTCACAATTGGAAATATATTCATACAGCAGTGACACTTGAGAACTGACATCCATTTAGAATGTAATGGCTTCTCAAAAGATTTTCCCCCTTTTTTTGGTGCTGAGGATTGAACCCAGGGTCTCCTCCATGCCAGGTAAGTACTCTACCACTGAACTGCATTCCTAGCCCTTTCTACTATTGAAAAAATGTTTGAAACAGGGTCTCATTAAATTGTCCAGGCTGGCCTAGAACTTGCAGTCTTTCTGCCTCAGCCTCCTGGGTAGCGGGATTACGTATATATGCCATCATGCTTAGCTGCACTACTGCTTTTGATTTCAAAAATTTCTCTTAATAAAATTAGCTAACAAATAGAAACTCCTTTCACTTTTACTTTTTCATTAATCTTTACTATTCAGATTTTAAAGCCCATTTCCCTCATAAATTCTACATTTACTACCATGTTTACATTTTATTCTCTTCAAAATAACTTCTAGTGTACAATGGACACTAAGATTTTTTTCCCCTTGCATTTATTCAAAGCTCCAAAGTAACTTAAAGACAACTACTTATCAGGCATTATGTGTATTTTCTTGGAAAATGAGAAATACTTGTTTGATTATTTAGCTAGTAGACCACAGAACACTTTTTCTCTACTATCAAATATTTAGTTGTAGTCACATTGATATTGACATTGGAGATTTAGCTCAGTGGTAGAACATGTGCCTAACATAGGTGAGGACCTGGGTTCAACCACCAGCACTGGAAAAACAAAAACAAAAACTCATTAATATTGGTGTGAATATTTTCATCATGTTCATGAAGAAATACAATAACAAATTTAGGAAAGCCTTATTGAAATTACTACTTATTATTGCACCTTAATAACCTCAAGTTGAAAAGAAGTAAATGACTTAGATTTACCTTTCAAAGCCTTAAGATAAATGTTGATTGTCTATTCTAAAGCCTGTTTAGATGTCAAACTGTTACACATTTTTGTGTGGTTTTATTTTAGAGCACAAGCTTCTTGGGATATGACAACTGGAATGCCTTTTCATTCAAAAGAATAGTGATTAAGTGCCAGACACTGCACTAAGCCCCAGGGTTAGGAAGGAAAACTGGAACTGAGCCTGTTCACAAATAACTCAAAATCAGTAAAAAAAATGGCTAGAAGTGGCTCTAGGATATGCTGATGCACAGTTCTATAGAAGGTGAACATCTGAATTACAGTTCAAGTTATGATACTTTTGAGAATGAAAAAAGTGTTTACTATATATAAACAGGATGTAGGCAAATTTCCACTGACATGCAGAAGACATAATGTTGAACTTTGAACACTCCTGTATCAGTGAGATGGGAGATAGTGTGGTGATCAAAGAGATTAGAAAAGAATTCAAGAATGATATAATATTTGAAACCATTTGCTAACTCACTGATTAACTAATTCAAGAGCATTACTTAGTGCTAGCTATGAGCCAGGAAACATGCTAGAGGATGGGATGTAAAAATAGATAAGAATTCTAATCTTAAGGAGCAGATAATTATTGTGGTGGAGAATGGAGCCAAACAATATTCAAATGACTATATAATTATGGCTCTTTCATTTGAGACAGGGTCTTGCTACTTGTTGCTCCTGACTCAGCCTCCTAAGTAGCTGGAATTACAGCCATGCACAACCATGCTTAGCCACTATATAATTACAAACTATGGCTACTTTTTAAATTTTAGAAGATATAAGGAAATATGAATTGAACATTAAAGGAAATAGTAATAATTTGCTGGGCACAGAAGAATTTTTAAAATTATAAATGCATTAAAATCAATGTGATAGAGTATCTTGGTGTACATCTTGAACCTAATATTACTGGTGAAGAATGATAAATGAAAGCATTGAGAATAGCTAAAGAAAATAGTCATTTTTGTCCCAAAAGAAAGATGAGCTACCTACTACTATGACAGATGTTGGAAAGGGTTGTAATCTTTCATTGTTATTGAGTTAAAAATCACAAATGAATTCAATAAAGTCTGGGATACTTTGGAAAATCATATTAGTCAGATGAGATTACAGGACTGGGTGTAATTTGTTTTAAGAAACTATGAGCTGGGGGTACACTTCTGTAATCCCAGCACTCAGGAGGCTGAGACAGGAGGATTGCTGTGAATTTGAGGCCAGTCTGGGCTACATAGTGAGTTCAAGGCCAGCCTGAATTACAGAGTGAGAACTTTTTTTTTTTACATATGCTTTTATTGGTACATTTTAGATGTACAATATAATGACATTCATCATTGGAGATATGCACCTTTACATACTCTCTTGGTTCTTATTTTTTCCCCCTTCCCCTGCCCTTCCCTCCATCCCTCCCTATTTACAGAGACATTGTTTCCTTTTTTCATTTTCTCATATTAATTCCATTCCCATCTTTACTTTCTGCTACCCCTCCCACTTCCCCTTCCCTTTGCCCCTTTTCTTCCT